CTTTGCAAACAGTACTACCCATCGGGACAGCCTCAAAGATCTTGCCCTATACACCTGGAGAAGTGAATTCAAGTAGTTTGGAAAACTCAACAACTCCCATAGGAGTCATCTAAGGCTACTGGTAGTCATCTACTCCAACAGCGTTCTTATATCAATCCTGTTAATTTTGGCATGAGGCTTCACATGAGAGGAACAACACTTTAGAGGAAATGTATTCTGGCTTGCTTTTCTCCACAAACACACTATTTCTTTTAGTGACACGTATATATGCACGTACACTTAAGCTACATTATGCACACACACAACTACAGGACACAGAAGGATTAGCACAAAATATTTACCAAGAGAATTCTTTTAAACTATATTAAGGAGGAATACTTGAAGCACTTTACCTGTTTTATAACTCTGTGATCTATATATATCCCTGAGTTCTTTCATAAGTCGATCTGAAGCCTGAACTGACCCAGAGACTGCACCCTGAAACAAACAAACAAGACTCCAAATAAATGAGAATATTTACATCACGTAGCTTTATTTGCATTGCAAGGTTACAGTACCTTGAAGGTATTAATACATTAATTTTTATTTTCAGAAATCATACGTCCTAGTGAGTGAAGAATACTTAAAAGAATCAAGACACCTTCAATAGCAGCATATTAGCATATACTACAATATGGTATAGGTGATTTAAACTTTTAATAAGATACAATGAAAGTATTTTTCTGTAAATGAGTTCACAATCTCTTTGGCTCCCTGACTGGAAGTTGGATCCACAATGTATTTCTAATAGTGAAATATTTCCTTCCACAGCTTCTGCTTTTATGCCCTGGAAGAAAGACTAACAGTAATCCTAAGAATAAGCTTTGGTGCATAAGATTATACTGTTTTCTTGCAAGTGTACTCTCAGTTGGTTATGAAACAAGGTTTAAGCGCTGGGAAGTACCTGCTATGGAATACCAGCTTCGGGTGAAGTAAAGACTAACCAAGAATTTTTAGAAAACTGAACAAGTAGTACTTGGTTATCTATTCTTTGCAATAAAGAAAAGCAAACACCACCCACACAGAGGAGGACTAAGGTAAGTAAACCTTTAAATACCAAACTATTCTGTCATTATTTGTCATAGTTCTTGTGGCTGATACAACCAGAGAAGTATCATTTTCCATTTAGAGCTCAGTTCTGTATTTCTTAATGTCTCAGACTGACTGAGAAATCTGAGCACGCAATTTCTGACCCTAGTATTTCAGTCTGAGGAAGTAACAGCGCTAAAGAAAAAAAAAAAAAAAAAAAAAAACCACGAACAAGACCACCTTTAAGTCACATGCATTTAAACTAAGACCGGCACTATAACATACCAGTTACTGACCAACTAACACACGCAGCAGTTATCAAGTAACTGATGTGTACTCACATCTGCAACTGCTGGACTGTATTCTACACACCTCCCCAGTGACAATTCTGTGACCTTGGCATTAACTATTTTGCCTTAGTTTTCTGAGTTTTGAGGTGAGCCCTGTAGTTCTGTCTCTTACTAGACTAAATTATTCATTCAGAATAACATGATGACTGTAAGTACCTACTTAACTATCTCTAAATCAATAGAAAAGCTAGCAGGAAAGGTCATAACACTAAACCTCAGATTTTACACAATTACCCTGCTTACATTTTACATCTGAAATACCACATTACCTCCAAGATTTTTGGAAGAGGCCGAGTCAAAAGTTAACTTCACCAGATTTTACCCTCAGCTCAAAAAAAGGGCAACATTAACATTCATTAACATTCATTTTTTCTTGGCTTTCACTGGCAGTCAGTCTCCCAGAGGAGGATTACTCCATCAGACCCATGCAGTTCTCTGCTGTTGCCTGGACTTCAGTCATTCCCACCAGAATATACGCTAATGCACCTGGCTCATAAGTGTGGTTTCATTTAAAAATGGAAGACTAGAATAAAGCTATGCTCAATCTCTCTATATAAAATCTGAAATGATTAGTTTACAAGTCTGTTTTTCTACTCTATCTAAAACTTGAACGAATTTGTTTAGTTTCCTTTTAGATGAACTACTAATATCCATAAACAACTCCTTTTTGGACAAGTTTGCGAGAGACTGGTATGTCAGCCCTGTATGCCTGAGGTCAGCAATGCTAGTACATATTCTACAAGGTCTTAATTTTAGGATCAAGTTGTTTATTAACAAAGATTAAGTATCAACAATAGTTACTTGATGCAAAAGCCTCCACATATGCCTTGGTCTTCTATGTTAAGGATTATTATATTATACTACTGAACTTCACAGTATAATCTGTAGGCTATTGTTTTTGGCTATTCATTTCCATAATCCACTGGATTCAATTATGCAGATTTCTGAAATTCCACTAGGTTTTCTCATCAGATATGTAGAGAAAATGAACTCTGTAATTAAGCATGCAGATAAGTGGCAGCTCCTTTCGTGAGATATACGAAAACTAAAGGCAGGGCTCCAGAGAAATCATTTCTCAGTTTACTGAAGCACCTTTCTAGACAGCAGAAACAGGCAAAAAAGGATCTCTTAACAGTAAGTGAATAAACTGTCAGGAAAAAAAAAAATAGACACCAAACCAGTGGTTTGTACACGTTATTTACAGATCAGCACCATTTATACACACTAACTGAACATCAGCTGAAAAAAAGAAGCATTAGAGTTAACACAGTGCAGTAGTTACTGGCCACCGTTCTCTGGAAAACGGCTGTACTCTTTCAGGCCCGTGCTGTGAGGGTTAAGGTTATGAGATCATTGCCAACGTATTGAGTCCAGAGGAGTATAGCTTCATATAGAGCTGTGAAGATTTTGGCTTTGTTCTGTACAGAGCTGTGCCATATCCTTGCCTTATCTACTGCAATGCTTACTGAAAGAAGCGGTTTTCTTTTATTTTTCCACTGAGTATCAACTTTTAAATGTAGGCAATTTATAAAATAACTTAGATTCTCAAAGTCAGCCACAGAGATCTAGTTTCCTTACGCCACCTTTATTTCAATCATATTACTGCATTTCTGTATTTAATGTTGCAAGAGCACATAGGTATATAAAAATTTTAATCTTCTGTGCCGCAGTAATTGGGGGGGGGGGAACCCCACACACTACACCCACACACTCCTGAGTGCCATTATAACTTCTGATAAAGTGGTGTTTTAAAAAATAAGGTTAGTTTAAGCATGTCTAGACTAGCCTCAGTAGACTTCGTCTTAACAGTGCTTTTGCCCTTTTTTCAATCTACTGGCTTCCTAGGAGTTTGTAATTGGGGTGTCCACCCCTACACTATTAAAGGAGCGAGTCTAACTTTGTTTAAAGAAGCCACAGCCCATAGACTACAAACCATTAATCTCTGATCAAGACAGAGGATAGCTACTCCACTAAAAAGCTTAACCTAAGAAATTAAGCACAGGAGCTAAATTTACATGCTCTTAACTACCCTTGGAGGAAGTTAAAGGGGGAGCATAGTGAGATTAACCATCGTACCAGTTAGCATTAACGCTAAACCCCAAACCTTTGAAACAGTCTCCGTTATGGCATGACTTCTGTATTTTATGGCTAAAGCGCTGTTTAGAAGAGAGTACTATTTGGATCATAACACAGCATGATACGGTAGGGCAGGGAGTTCAGTTTTATCTGTACTGGTACCAAAATTAAAAACATTAACTTTCAAGAACCCTCTAGACGCAAGTTATAATCTCAAAGACTGAATTCAGATACAAGTAACAGAGCATTTTTCTGGAAGAGTGGGACTTTCCCCTCCAGGAAAGATAAAGCTCCCATTTCTCTAGTTATGGGATTAAGATTTATAACCAGAGTTGGCTTAGAAACAAAACCAGTCAATCATGGGACATGAGAGGTATCTGTCATGTGAGGTTGATGCCAAGAGGCAAGTACAGAACAGTATGGTCACTTGATCTGTAAGCTGAAGTGCTGCCACCCAAAGAGCTGCCACCCAAGCTCCAAGACATTTTTCTATGAGGTAATCAAGCGGGCACAAAGAGCCACACAAAGAGTCTCACACAAAGTATGTTTGCACATACTGCAAAAGCGGTGGCTCCTCAGAACAATGCACTAGTCAGCTGGGGAAGTCCTTGCTACAGGAGGTAAACGTTCCTATGGACAACACTCCACTTGTGAGCGCTGCAAATAAACAACATTTGGCTCAGGAAGTCCCAGAGCCACACTTCGCTGGACTGTAAAAACACTTATGAGATACCTCACTACAGGGTTGTCCTGTTCCCAAATCTTCCCCTCTAGGATCTGCTTTTGCCACTGTCAGAAACAGAAAACTTTTGATCCGAGTTAGTATAGGCATTATACTCTTCAGAAGTGTTTATCCTTAGATTTGTATCTTAGTGTAAACACTAAAATTTACATGAGTAAAATACTTTATAGCACAATTAAGGCTCAGTTGTCTTAGAAGTTGTTTAAGAGTTGAGCTTCTGCATTCACAAGTCAGTAAGGCATACCTAAACATGCAGAAATCACCACAGCAGGTGCCGCTGCTTAAGTTATCTGCTACACTAAGTCTCCAGAGATCTGGAAATAGCTTGACACTTTCCAGCCTCAGGTTTTTACACTTCCAGCTTTCTCCTTTTGGAGATTCTTTTTTACTCCTTTCACCACCCACACCACAACCACGGTCTGCTCCTTAAATAGGCTATCTTGAGGTAGGAAGTGCAGCTCAGAGAAGACCGAAATGGTTTTAAATCCATATACTGGATACTGTCTGCTATCTATCAGATCAGAAAAATACTTCACATCTCAAAACACTGCAGTAAATCACCTCACTCAAATGTTTGGATATGCAGCTGAACTATTGAAAAGTTATCTGCCAAAACAAAAATAAAGAATCCCAAGCAAAAAATCTGAAGTGATCCAAAGAGAGCTATAAGGAAGACAAGCTACCTCTATGGTCATTTAACATTTTCAGTATTTGTGCAGAAGGGCATTCATTCCTGGAAGTTAAAGTAGAATCATACTTACTGCAAGGATGAGACAGAAAAGTGCAAGTGACACCTTAAACGTCATAAAAATCTAAAGATGAAAGCAGAGACATTCGGGAGTCCTGAAGGAAAGTGCATAAACTCCTCAGAAGGAAATGGAAAAGCTAATAGCATTATCTAAATAAGAAAGCCATTAATCTCTAAAATGAATAAATGGGGAGAGATCTCTGAAAAGCAAGCAGCACTAAGTTGGTAAATATTTGGAGTTATTGATTCAAGTTCAAATACCTTTAGTCCCAGTAAGCAAGTGGTTCTATAAAGTTATCACAACGTCAAGAGGAGGATTAATTCTTCCTCCAAGTTGTATGTTGTACTGGAAGCCAAATTTAAGGTTATTTCCTGATGCTACTAAGGAGAAAAGGATTAGGGATACTGCCAAGGAAGAAAACTCGTTCATGAGGTTACTAAATGCTTTTTTGTTCTTGTAAGAAAAAAGAAATATGTAAAAACTCCTATGAGTAAGAACTTGAGCAGCAGAAAAATGTCCTCAGCCTGCTAGTGTATGCAAAAAGGGGACTGCATGCACTCTTTTCTTGTGTTAGATCTTTAACATGGTCAGCCTCTTCAAGCCACATTTCCACCGAGGAGAGAAAGGATGACCCACAGACTAGGGCCAAAGAATACAGAGAAATTGAAGTCTGGTTGCATTTAGCATTAGTTGAAGCCCTGCACTAGACTTCCCTCTTTCAACAGCAAGCATGCAAGTGATATGTCTTTGTTTTACTTCCCTCTGCTGAGGAAACAAAAGCATACCAAAGAGCTGTGATGTGTGTGAAAACCTGAGGATGTTTATATATTGCACTTCAGTTTGTCACACCGATGTGATCCTTTCAGGAAACCCAGAGTCAAGGAACAGACTTAAACTTTGCTTTATCTTCGGATACTGAGCAGCCTACTGCTGTAACAGAGACGGTTTTCTGTTGAGAGTCACATGTTTTGGCAGCATAAGGGTACATTTAAGTGTTACTAGGTTCATTCTTTACTGGGTCAGTAGCGCAGCTATAGCTTTCAACACTCAAGTACTAAAGACTAAATCCTCACAAGTCCTTTGAGAAATTATTTAACCAGAGCAGCTATTTCTGGTGACCCACAAAAATACCACGGTTCCTCAGCAGCAGTTGAATACCCTGTTCCCTGTACTCAGCTGACCTTGTTTATGCTCCAGCATCAACGAGAGTGTCTTGGCATGAGAAACAGCTATTATGTAAGTTGAATCTGCTGTTGTCAAACAAAAACCAGCAGTGTTCATTTCAGCTCTGCTAGACGCAGAGGGGAAAAAGCAAAAGAAAAGCCAATGTTTACCAAGTAGGAAAGAACAGAGAGGGAGAGAAAATGTGCAGTTTTAAGAGGCTTTCAATACCAAAGAACGATGCTGACATTACAAAAAGCTTTTTCAGTTCTACTGAATTTTTAGATGGCAGTAAGCAGACCATGGCTTTCAAGCTGCAAGAGATTTTATTTTGTTTCATGATTAAGAAGTCTTAGCCATTAGGTCTGGGTTATAAACACAGAAAAATATACAATCTCAATAGGCATCTCTTCTCAAACTCTGAGCAAACACTTAAGTTAAAAAAGTAACCTCTGTGTATGGTCAATCACGCCTTAAAACAACTCTATATCACAAAAGCAATTTGCTTATGCTTATCTGCTTTTCAATACTGAATTGCTGATGAGCTATAGCTTTTTTTGAAGGGGTGACCATTACTGTACACTTTTTTCAAACAACCTAAAAGGCAAATATGGAAATCAGAGTAATCTCCTGTAGCCACCTATCTCATTCAGCCTATTTCAGCAAAACATAGGTTTCTTGCAAAGTTTGCACTCAAGTTATATTAGACTAGCACTGGGGCAGGAGGAGGAGACTTGTAGTTGAAAGACTCCGACAGATTTGTTTATTTCCTTTTCAAAGCAGATGGCTACAAACGGAATTTCTTCTCCATCTTAAAGAAAAAAATTTCTAAACTAGATCAAGTTACCTAGGGCCAGGAATCACGACAAGAAATAGTTAAGATGGTGCTAGATTAAGGAAATTAGTTATGATAAAAATTTAGAGAAAAGGCTACCAGGAGCGCCTCCACTGTTAAAAGCAGAATAACTTGGTTGCCACTAAACACAGAGGTTTACAACAGCAATTCTCTTGAACCTGAAATAATCTTTCAAATAGAGTTTAGCTAAAAGGATTTACTGGAAAAATCATAAAGTGTAAAAAGGGAAACTAACAAAGCTGGAGAACAGAAGCCATGGACTCACTGTTTACAGTTGTCTTTTAATACAGGAAATGAAAACAGATGTCCCCAGGACACCGCCATACAGAAATTTCTTGTTTCTGCAACTGCCTGCCGACAGGAATACTCTGAAAACTGTGATAGCAAAGCTGCAGAGGGATGAAAGCCCCTTGCTTTACGTTTGGCAAAAAAAAACTTCAGTAATTTCAGAGGGGCCTAGAAATTACTGGAATAAAACTCATGTATAGAAACAGTTTTAAAGCACAAATTCCTGGATTTACAAAACATGTAAAGTCACCTACCACTTCTAATACTCCAGTCCATGTATATGCAGCTATTTACTATCTTAGCAAAAGTGAGCAAGATAAAACAAGAACAGACATACTTACAACCTAGATGCTTTCTGTCAGTTTTGCGGGGAGGACTATTGTCTGTAACACAGGTATTAGGCAAGAGAAAACAAGCTAGCATTCTCCCAGGTTAGAAGAAAGAGTGCTTAGTTACTATACCTCTGTGGGATGTGACCTGGCAACTAGCGTCCTTTGCCAAAGATTTTGCACAATTAGTCTGGTTACTGATGAATCTTGGGAGTTTTAGCTGGCCTAGTGAAATTTCTCCAGAAAGAGCTATTTGTCCCATAGCTTGACACTTTCGTCCTATATAATGCTGGATGACAGCTATAGGTTGACTTGTGTTTGTATGTATAGCAGTAGGCTTTATTTGCTGCAAGTCATTCCTATCTTAAGGCCAAAAGTACCGCAAAGAAAAAATGTTAACATTAACTCACATTTAAGTGATCTTGCCTTTGATTTTTTCTGATTTTCTCTAAGATTGCAAGGTTCTCTTTTTCAATGCCTTCATCCTCAGACTTCTTCCCATCAACTGGTTCCTCCTCCTTCATATCATAGTGATCCAGATCTTCAATGTCCTACAGGACAGACCAAAATTCACTGTAAACAATTCAACTACGTTCTTTGCTTAGAAAGCTCTCTTCTAAGGGCATTTAGGGACACAGTCACCATACCACCAAAGCATTAGGTATTAGCGATTGTTGGAGGCCATTTCTATTTTGTTCTGCTTTCACCCTCTCAGTCAGAGGTATTCAGTGCAAATGTAAGGAGCCTTTACAATACAGATGAGACCCAGATTCATGATACTTGTGGTCAGAAACAAGAAGAATAAAACCTCTGTGAGAAGGGAAGATTGTAGTGAATTAGCCCATTGAAGTAGGTAATAAACAGGAAGTTAAGGCATTTTGAACAGGGCTTGAGAAGCCTGAAATACAAGGGATGCCCTGAGTTTGTGTAAAAGCAGACTTTCTGTTCCTATTAGAATCCTAGCTATAATTCTGACAAATACATTTATTAACATACCCGGCAGGGCTACAGCAACCTTCCAAGATAGTTTAATAGTAGGAAGTGCCACACATTTCATTCAAGGTTAACATTTCAGCTGAAGATTATGTGCAACAGGATTGAAATTAAGATAAGAGACAAAAATATTTGGCCGAGTATCTGGAGCACATCATGAAGCCAGATTTCAATTCTGAGGTCTAGGCTAAGACACCGGAAAGTCTTCTGTCCTTTGTGTATTCTGAGACAGGGGTGATCCTATTGCAGGGGAGCACTGTGAAGTTACGACAACTACCTGCATTTAAGGTGATACAAGTGCTACTTACGGAGGGGAGGGAAAGATGCAAAACGAGGCACTACAACAGCCACACCAGCAGACCACAGGTACACAACCATCAGATACACTCCAGTGTGCAGAGTGTTCCACCACACCTGAGGCTACTCTACTCCCATCTGTTTGCATGGCAGGAAAATTTGGCCATAAATGCAAATTCAAGGATGTCTTGCACGGTATAAAACATCTATTTGGTGCATTTGACAGCCTCCTTTCCCCCAACTGTAAGAGGTTTTAGACAGTATTTTAACATACCTGTTTCTCAAAGCAGTGACACAGCCCTAGGAACCCTAAACTACTTTTTTATTTAGAAATTGGACTAGATCAAAAATTGGACTAGAGTGCCAAAGAGCTGCTTGACTGGTTATAAGCAACTTCAGAAGAAAAATTGTCTGTTGTTATCTGAACAGAGTGTAAAAGGACACTTAAAAGTCAGCAAGCAAAAAAAACGTCTCGTGGCAGCAGGGTGGGGAAGTGCTCACGCCACCTTTATAGAAACATTGCCTCTAATAAACGTGGTCTGGGCTAAATATAGTCTAAGGGAAGCTGCTTTAGACTCATTCCACTGCATCTGAAGGAAGGCCTATACTCCTCCTGTTCCGAAAAGGAGGAGTTCTTCATTCTTTCTACATACTTTTTATTTACTAAAAACGTTAACTTGCACTAGTGAGAACAATTCTTATATACTAAAGCTATTTATATAAAAAGCAAGCATTTCTGGTACCTATTCTAGTAGGTTGTAGAAGTAATTAAAGGGGGTAGCTCTCATACAGCCAAGAGCTCGTTAAAAGGAGTACCATGTTGCCAGACACTGACATAAGCCCTATAGTTTAGCCTGTCAGCTGCAGATACCCTCTTATTTCCTTCAACATATTATAGATAAAGTTCAGCTGTTTAATAAATCAAACTAATTTATTCTCAACCAGTCTGTCTCAGTCCGGGAGGCACTTTCAACTGCAAAGTCAGGTCGTATGCTGCTTGAAATAGGAGTTTACAATGCAAGCCTACTGATTCAGCACACAACGTTACACATTGTTCAACTTAAACCACAAACAGATGTCCAAGGCTCTATATTCAAGTAGCCTGCATACTGACACCTAGGTTTAAGAAAAATATTTCACAAGTTTTGGTGGCTGAAAAGAAAGGTGACATTAAGGTAGAAATCCAAGTTTTCCCACTTCTTCTGTTGCTGTTTGGGGTAATTGCATTTTACACTTTGGCTTAATAATCAGTCAGCAACCACAGAGCAAAAGGCTAGCATTCTGCTGCATTAGAATAATAAATTCTCATATATACACATACTTCACCCATATCTTCTTCTTCTTCCTCCTCTGATGTAACTTCTTCTGTTGTTCCATTCTGCAATACAACAATTGAGGTTTCTGCATGAATTGTCTCTGCACTCCTTTCCTTCAAAAGGAGGAAGTCTACTATCAAAGAGTAAGCAGTACATATGAAAAGTTACATTTCTCAAAGTCTGCAAAGGACTGAAGTTTAACATGAAGGACCATACACAAAGATGTTTTCCTGGAGTGAAAGCGCGAAGAGATTTTAGCACGAAGCTAAGGTAAACAGAACGCCACGATTAATTTCATATTAAGATCTAAGCAGAAACTTAAAGAATCAGCTAACGATATCCTCTTTTGAGTCACAGTGACAAATGCAATGAACAAGTTAAGCGGGTTGTAACTCATGATTCATGAAACCAGATCATAGCTCCGAATAGAATCCCTATTCATATTTGGATCTCTGAAAATTAATGGATCTTTGGCTCAACTACCTAGAACTATTATGCAACTACTAACTTTCATAACCATACTTATTACATTATTTGATGAAATATCAGAATACATTGAGCCCATTTTCCATAACTTTCCATTTCAGAATACAACTTCAAGTTCAGGAAGTCTGAGCTGCAGAAGTACTCAGAAGCATTACGATATGCTTGTCCTCTGCTACTATGCCTCCTGTGGCAGGTAAGGGATGCCATTGCTGTGGACAAGGCAGGGAATTAGACTGCCCTTAAGTCAGACCAAAGATCCCTCTAACTTGCAAGTTATCTGAGGCTTCTGGCTAAGATACCCTTCCTTGAGTTTGCTTTTGATTTCAGAGCATAAGTAAGACTCTTCAGCAAAGCTACTTCCTAATGCTACAGGCCTATTGCCTTACAGTTGCACTGCTACATGGGGGGGGGGGCTGAGGCAGAAAAGCTATAGGATTAGTTTGGCACATGACCAAAATTAAGTTATTTGTCATTACTGTATTACTGGCACCACAGGAAAACCATCTGCTACACTAGAGTTTAGAAATCATGTCATCTTAACATGTGCAAGTAAAAGTAAGTACCATAATCCTATTACAAATAAAAACATGCTGACTGTCAGCTACCAGTTTGGCTTTCAACACAACACAAAACACTTCAGTTAACCAGAACATTTAACAGCCCTTCACAGCTTTTAATTTAACAAGTGTACGAAGAGCATATAAGGCACCTCAAACAGATATCCCCTACCCAAAGAAGCATATGGTCTTGCTATTCCATGTCTTTACAAGGGAGTGAAAAAGAGGAAAACACTGATAATAGGTTCATCCAAGTGCACCCTGTAAAATGCATACTCTTCTAGAAGAAACATGGAATATTTAACCACAAATGCATTTGGGGAATTTGGGAAGCACCAAGAATGCACAGCAGTCAACCTGAGCAGAGTTTAGGTGAGAATTAAAGTGACAGCATTGATTATTTATATATATATATATATATATATATATATATATGCACGCACACACACATATACACATATATATGTGTATACACACATACATATACACACACAAACACCCCTTTCAATGAAAAAAACAAACTTTAAAGGAAATCATGCAATATCCTATCATTATTAAATGGATTCTGCAACAGATCAAGGACCTATTACAGAACAACAGCACTTCATATCTCAGTACTGGCTTACACAAATTTTAATCTTTATCACCATCTAATTTGTTAAGACTTGAATAGGATTTTATTTCCATAAGCAGGTATCCACAGCTTTTTAATTTACCTGTCCAGCTGGCAATGGCTGATCTAACATTTCAACATCCGGATGCTGAGGAAGGTTATATAATCTGCAGAGGTCACATATTAATCGCTTCAGCTGCTGAAGAAGCTATTAAAAGAAAAAAGCTTATTTAAATCAAAGCAGAGTCGGCAATATATTTTAAAGTTTCTTCACACGTTGATACTGAACTTTCAGCTAGTCTACAGCATTTAAATCTACAGGTACCAGAATTAAGTTTCAAGACACCCCTTGTTCCTGCACAGTTATCATACTAAAACCCCCATGTTGGGAAACCCAGAAGGTGAAGAGTCATGAAGATGGCTCCCGTTCACTTCCCCATATCAAGTGGGGAAAGTCATGAGCAAAAAAATAATTTATTCTGGCTGCATCATCCACTCCAGTCAGAGCCCCAGATCATTAAAGAATAATCAAATGGTGGCGTCTCCGGGCACAAGTCTGTCCATTCCAGCTTCCTTTCTCAAAGGAGCACATCTTCAGAAAAACTGGGAGGAACTCTGATTTTCCACATCCTGCATCCCTTCCTAGGGCACACCAGTGAGGCACTAGAAGCAGCACAGATACTGCACAAGACACAAAACCAGCCTAGCTCTGAGCTAGAGCCCAAGTAGTCTCCTTGTGCTGTCTTGGGTCCGATTTAGGCAAAGTTACTACCACTGATTTCTGTTTCTAACTTTCATTCCGTTATTGACCGAGTCCTATTAACTGCAAGATACAGAACAGCTTTCACTCACTGCAATGCTGTCCGGAAAGTAAGTTTAGTTCTGCAGAAACAGAGAAACATTAAACTGGCTTCTTGACCCCATGCTCTGTGGATTTCCACAGCTGCTGACATTCCACAACCCTAGACAGCCTTCAAGTTCCTGGTTAAAGCCAAGGCCACGAAAAGACCATACCCGTGTTCAACTTTTCAAGGTCTTCACATCATCATGTCAGAAAAGTATAGAAAGTCTACAGAGTACATTTGCAAAAATGGTCAACATCAACTATTGTGCAAGAGTACCCCAGAGAAAGCTTGCAAAAGACGACGCTCACATCCAGCTATGGACTTTCCTTCCAGACATGAGACGGGGTTTGCCTTGCCACTTTTCAAAGGCAGTAGCCAAAACAGCTGTTGTACACAGATCTCAGCAGCACTTGCAGCTATTCTTAGGGTAGCAAGTCCCAATTCCCATTAAGTATCTCTCCATGAAGGAGAGATACTCAGGCTATGTGGACTCATCCAGAGTACAGCATAAACTGTATTATCCTGAAAGAACAGTGCCTCTGCAGTACTATTTGAAGTTTACCAGCTAAACTGTACAATGAGTAAAGTGTTTAAGAAAAATCAAGTCACTCCAAGATGTTCTACCTGTCTAAAGCCTTGCTATTGGCCAGGTTAAGCACTGTTATCCTGTGCTACTGCAGCTGAAAATCCAGGCTCTCCAACAGTAAAAAGAACTCATTCCCAAGCCCAAAGCACTAGCAGAGAAGAATACATTTTGCCCTTATACTTTCTGAAAGCTTTTGTGCTTTTCCCTTCTCCAACAGGATTCAACGTTCCTGTTTAACAGGAACGTCACTTATGCATCAGATACCGTGAACTGACATGCCAGCCTGCATTAAAAACAAGTTCTTCTGTATCATACCACATCTTCTGTTTTTGCATCAGTCATGAAAATCATCCTTAACTCACAAATAGAGCAGATGACACCAGAAGAACTGATGCATCAGTAACACAGTTCTTTTGAGTATGTACATGGGATGCGATAGCCTCTGGCTCCATAAGCTTTCTGTAACAGTCACGTACCCCTCAGTGTTAGGGCTCTAAAGCTGTTTGAATCTTCTTGGGTGTCTGAAACGTCAAAAAAATTTTTAGCAGGTAGAAAGCAGGTAAAACTATCTAAAAAAAAAAAAAATAGCTTGCAGTTAGGTCCACAGGTTTTAGTGCTATTATTCTCAGTATGTTCGAGATACCAGAGGTTAATACTACTACAGATTTTGTTGAGAGACTTGTTCTCTGTGTAGATAGCACTTCCTCATGGAAAGCTTGAGAACAAAAGCTCTGAAGTTTCAGGAACTGTCATTTATTTTCCACATAGCTGTGTAAAGCTAGAGAAGCCATGAATTTGTTTATGTCTGTTGTGAAGCATGTGGGAGGACAGAGCGAGGTAGGAAGGATACTACCACTAGCATTTGGCTGGTCCAAAGCTTGGGAAAGCAGGTGGCCACAATATTAGACCTCTCTAAGGAAAGAGTAAGGGCTAGGAAGGGAATTAAGAACTGCTTTCTATCCTGCTTCCTCTTCTCCCAACCCTCAAGGAAAGTCCTCTCACCTGACTCCAAATTCAGAGGAACCTTTGCAGCCAGGAGCTAGGACATAGCAAGCTTCTCTCGCTTCCCTCTGACCCGCAGCACCACTGTGAGGGACACAAGCACTCAAAGCAACAAACTGCAGGCACAACCAGAACCAAATCACATACAGGCTGTTGCCTAAAGAGGTTTCTCCTTGCCCCCAGTAGCACCATTTCATTTGTGCTGGTATCACTGAACACACAGCCCCATGGCAAGCCACGTCGTACAGATAACCTGGCTGAGAACCAATGCAGCAACGTGCGAGTTTCTGCACAGGTCGTTCCCTGATGTGGTTCACCACCTAAGCACCGATTCCACCAAAAAGGAGAAGGCAGGAACGTGCAGCTGAGAGCAGGGATCCCTTTCTTGGCAGCAGCCTACACTTTATGTTACCTTAATGCAACTCTCAAACCGCAGTTTCATTTTTATAAGCTAAGTAGTTTCACTTTAATGTCATCTTCCACAGCACGCAAAGGCGGTGACAGAGCTAGAAGCTGATCCCTCTCTACATCCCTTCTCCCTGCTGCTAGATTTTTTCCTCCGCAGGGATTCATCTCATGCTCTTGCTGCTTCTGCCATGGATCACCATCACCACTGTCCTTTATGCTCTGCTCATATGTATGAGGAATCACAGAATGACTTAGGCTGGAAGGGACCTCTGGAACTCACCTCATCCAGCCCCCTGCTCTAAGCAGGGCCCAGCATGATTTCAAAGGCATTAGTGGGACATAAGCATGCTATATCAAAAGGGATGGCAGATTTCTGTCATGTATTAGTAAGTTAAATACACCTCCTGGGTAACTTTGCATGTGTACCTGATATAAAATTAACGCTTAACATATAAGCTTTGCTGATACTGAAGAAAAGTGGCCTACCAATATACAAACAGGTTCTCTGGAATACAAACTGCCTAAAGCAGAAGCTAAACAGAAAATACAATGTGTAATCCACAGGGTATTACAGGAACACTGCAAATCATCTGTGCGATTAATAAAATAGTGTTCGAGTGACCAAATACAGTTAAAAAATAATATTGGTAATTGCAATGTTGCACTGTAATTTTCAATAATAATCATTAACACTCTTCAGCTACTCTGAGAAGTTGGTTGTTATGATGGATATCATAATGCTGTTTCAGAACATAAGAGTATCTTTTGGAATTTTTTTGTTTCCTATATTAATGCCTTACAAATCAGCAAACAGTTTAAGACAATTGTTCTGAAGTCTATCCCACGTTAGGGGGTCTTTTTATACGTTGAGATCTTTCTAAAGTATGAAAGCATTAGTAATTTTAGAATATCCTTAATACTATTCATATACTTGCTGGGTTCATTAAGAAGCACGTTGTGTTCAGATTACTAAGAAACATGGACTTATACTATAATGTAATTAAATATGCATTTTTGTGTGTACCAACATAGATGGATATATGAATCAGTAAATCTTAGCCTATCACCGAAGCAAACCACTGAAGAAGGGTATAAGAGGAAACAGAGGGAAGAAATAAGTGTTATTTGCAGTGGGGCCATCTAGTTATCAGTTATTCTATGACAGTAATTGGTCCCCAGCACATTCAGCAGCCCTGCGCAGTTTCAGAAAGTAAAGCAAAGCTTCTTTCTGCCTTTTGTCTCCAGGGTCTCTGGTACATAAGTAGTTGCTGCTGTTTTGGTAGTTTGTAACATTCTTTCCTGAACTGCCACTATGCGGGACTAAAGCTACATTCTTAAGACAGAAGTAGCATGCTTAGTGACAGCAGCTTATCCAAGCTGTAGACATAGCTGCACCAAGAATCCTATACTTTTGAAGTCTGCGATGAAAATTTAAGCCCTCCAGGTTTTGGGAGTGTGAGAATTAAAGTTTCCCACACAATTTTAGGTGCACTTCACTGCTGTCTTTAATTACATAATCACAAACTATTTTGAATTTAAAAAGTAAAACCCTAAATCCCATATAATCACACTAAATAACAAATTGGGGGTCATGATGTAAGGTTTGAGACTTTAGACTGGCAACTACAGCTTCTATTATATTAAACAGAGCGACATAAAGCAGGAGTAGGATGCATCTCGTACATGGCACAACCACTAGAAGGCAGGTGTCAGTATTAACTATCTACTAAGACTAAAGCGGTGCTAATTTTCAGGCTGCGTAAATGAATTTAGCAGACACCAGGGATCAGAGAGTCTCCCTTGCTCCTGCATCTACTGATTGGGTCTTGCTCAATATGAACAGTCAGTTAAACTACTAAAGCTTCCAGAAACCAATGCTATCTATATGGATCGTTTCCTAACACCTTTTCAACATTTTCACTGTTTCGGGAGTTTTTACAGTAGAAAGCACCCTGCTGATGCCAAGGCAAATACCACAGAATGTCAGATCAACAGAAGGTTTTCCAGGAAGCGTGTAGGATTTTAACACAAGTACAACAATTCTCCTTTAACCTTGTTAAGTGATAAAGCTTCCTTAAACTCTTATGCCTCAGGAGCATGCTTTTTGGCTTCCCAAAAGCTGATACCTGTCAGAAGTTGCAAAACAAGCAAAGAGGACAGAAATACCAAAGAGGCCAAATAAGGTAGCAATGCCTTTAGCTGAATGCAAGTTCCCAGTTACAATTTTACTGTTCCAATAATAACTTTATAACATAACTTCAGAGCAGCATGGTAAGTGACCCTTCGATGCAATAAATTAAATGAAAAATCTGTCTGAAACCTAAAAATCTAAGCTGATAGGTGGGCGATAGTGATATATCAGGAACTGCTGCAAATCATTTCTGCATCTCACCTGTTTATTCCTTCTGCCCCACTATAAGTCAGTGAGCTGCTCTAACTCCCTTCATTTTTTTTAAGGGCAGGGTATGGGGAGAAAGGTGTAAGGAGGTGGAGAGGGGGAAAAAAAAAAGAAAAGAGAGAGACAGACCCCAAACACACAAATCTAAGCCTTTTGAGCAAAAACAAGTCAGTTTTCATAGTGCAAATATCTGTCTCTTCAACCACTCCCATCTGTCTTCATCTTGGCCTAACATGCTGTGGGGTGGTTTCCCAAGAAACCAATGGGCCATCCTCAGGTGTCTATTACATCAACTCATCAGCTTTTACATGGGCAAGTACTATCTTGATAGCAGAAGCTATTTTCTTACAGTGTACATAAGCACTCCATGCAAATATGCAATTCAGCATAGCAAGTCCTATGCATGTTTGCAATAAAGCTTTCTATCTTAACTCAAGCAAACTTGCAGGTAGTTAAACACAGGTGAAAGACCTTGTTTCACAAAACCTGTTAACCCCACACAGCAAATGAGTTCATCTAAAGCGATACATGGGGACAGAGGCTACTAGCCACACCAGGCTTATGCTGAAGAACTTTCTGAAAAATGGTTTTTTGGAAGAAAGTTTAGTTGGCCACATGCTCTGCCACTGTACTGTCCTATGTCTTTTTAGGCAGAGCTCACAAAAGATTAAGAGATGTATACTTTAGACTAAAATACACTAAGAAGAATCTTACGTTCAGGCTGCAAGAAGAAAATACACAACTGAAGCGCATGTCTCCTGTAATCATATCCAACAGAAAACATTAAATCTTTAATGTCCCTTTGCAAAGCTCATTTGTGTTTAGTTATGGCAAGGCACATGAAAATTTCCCATTTGCTTGTTAGTTTTCTAATTATTTCTGCTAGAAGTCAAATGTCTCCTAAATATTGTTCACAGGATTAATTTTATGCATGCTTAATCAAGCATAGTGGGCCTTAAATAACATCTTTCTACTAAACATTACAGGTAAGTGATATCATCAGAAAGAACATTCCCAATTTTCCTAAAGCCAGGCAAATACGAAGGCCAGCATGTAACCCATGCTAGAAGCAGCATCCTCCAGAGTGATGATTGTTTCATAGATATCTCATACATGCACATTCTTGTACCCTTAAAAGCTATTTAATACCCGTAAAGCTGAATTCAGAGGGAAAAAGAAAAACACTTTTAATCATCACTGAATTTGTCAGTAGACTGTAATACTGTTCTTTCTAGAAAGGACATTAAGTATATTTGTACTGAAATCTTCCTCCAAGCAATGTTCAAGGACACTCTTACCTTCCTGCATAGAATGGAAAGTCAAAACATTTTTATACAACTCCTATCATTACATTAAAAGGGCTCTCAAGTCAGAAATAATGCCTGACACTTTTCTGGAATACTAAACTACTATTAGAACTTGTGCAAAGATTTTCTCCAAAGAATAATCCTCCAGAGTCATAACAACGCTCAAACGTATGACTATTTCAGGAATATCCAGATGAACCAGATGCTATCAAGTCAAGTCATTTCCTGAAACCATGAATTCTTGCTTTGGATTAGCTACCATTATAGCCAGGTTTTGAAGAACATACATTCTCAAAAAACACTGAGCTCTTACCTCAGTAGTTAATCTCTGTGCCAAGAAAACACTGAATATTTAGCTGCATTCCAGAAGAGCAGCTATTTTATTTAGTTTTACATTCTCATGCATATCACCGTTCAACTGCTTTAAAAACAAAACAAAAAACACACACAACCAAAAAGCATTAAACAATTGTTTTCTTGGGGCTGAAACTTAACTTGTGTTAGAGAACAAGCATTTAGGTCATATTCTCCTCCTTGCCCCAAATCACTTGGATTACTTTCGATCCGTATGATTTTAGAAGAGAAACTTATGTTCACAAAACCCCAGAAATAATCCCAGATCTGAACTCATTTAATTGCTTGTCAACCTGACAAAGCTAAACCAAAACCCACTCAAAACGACAACAAAAAAAATTTCTCACCAGAGTATTGCTCTTCTTAATATCTTCTAAACGCTCCAAGACTGAAGTCAGGTTTGGGTCATCTGATTCTACAAACCATATTGGTGATGAAGAGGGGTAAGATTCCTGTTAAAACAAACAAACAAACAAAAAAAAAAATCACCAAATAAACAGAAAATCCACAAAGCTTTTAAGGTTCATTCACATTACAATTTCTTGCACAGTACTAACATTACCTTTTATCTTCCTCTAAAGTCAGGTAACAGGAAAGCTTTTAACAAAGTATTTTTAGGCAACTAATTCAAGAGAGGTCAAAAGAAATCCAGCCAGCTGGCTCCTCTAGTTTACATGCCATTTTCATCTTGATCAGCCAACAAACATACATAAGAAATGATGCTGAAAAGTTTTAAAGAACTGAGGGAGGGAGCAGAAGAGGAAACGTAGAAATGTAACACGGATAGTTACTATCAAAATGGAATCAGAAGTAGCATATGCCAGAGTAAAACCATATCCATGCTGTTCTGTGATTATTCCAAACAATAAAATCCGGTATCTTCAGATCTCCTCTTCAGATAAGGTTCTTCAAACTGTTCTACACTGACCTCCAAACTTAAACAGCATAGGTCAAGCCTGGTCTGCTTGGAGCAGAAGTTATTGGGCAGATCATAAAGCCAGAACACTGCAGTGTTCTCTTTACCATCCCAAGGCTCATAGACGGTCTTCCATTGTTGAAAGATTTCTCAAACAATATGCCTCATGCAACCTTATAAAGAAAGCTTCCAGACTATGACTTTCTTCCATCAGTAGATTTCTACAGTTAGGTAGATGCCAAAACACACTCTAGTAACAGTGAGATTAAGTGGGTTTACAGGATTAGAAGTGTATTTGACTTTTCAGAACAAACTACAGTTAAGGCACAGAGCATACGGAACATGTGCGTCCAACAACCACTCATACGAGCCACAATATGCGATGTTTCAGTCACTAGACTGGCGCAAAAGACAGCCCTCCATAAGGTGTTAGATAGGGCCTCGTGTTGACAGATGGATGAACAGAAATTCTTTGCTTCTTGTTTAGAGATCACAAAAAGCAACTTTCTTCTCTTTTTCTAACCTGTGTTAAAAAGAAATGTTGTGAGGACGGAGGAAAAGCACGTAGCTTCCACCTCAACAGTAAGTGTCCCTTCGTATCCTTGGCATATTTGGGGATTTGGGTTTTTAAGGCTTCCTCTTCTCATCCATTCAGTGAAATTCTAATAACTGAGGACAAATTGCTGAACTTCGGTTTTACCACTCAGATATTATCTTCCTGTCTCACAAAACACTATCAGGGAGTTTTTAATCATCTCATTCACTGCAGTTTAATAAGAAAATCCCAAAGCCTTTTCTCATTCAAGAGAGAACAACAAGTAACGCTTCATTCTTCAAAGCCTAAACTGAATCAAGGTTCCTATTGCTATTCTAACAGGGGGCTCCAAAATGTGTACTGTGCTTACACATTCCTACTATTTCTTAACTGCAGCATTTTTTTTTTGTTTTAAAGCTCCAGAATAGCAGAAAGCAGACGTGATACCTGTTTATCAGTGTCACTACCCAGTCTCTAGCGATTTCCAAGCAAACACACTTAGAGCAAGCTTTGGAAGTACAAGTCTTAAATCAACAGAAAAGAAAAACCCCAATCTTCCTCACTTAAACTAGCTTCAATCACTTCCAAGATACTGTGTTTAACAGAATGCAGAACAGTCAACTAATCTGAACACTGGAGAGAAATACAGGTGTGTTAGAATTCACTTTTCACAGTATGAAGCTTACTTCCTACCTGACCTTTCAGCTGAAGTGCTGACCCTCCTAAGAGGGACAGCGTGACCAGATAAAGGGCATCAGCTTTGACAGCACAGACTAACACAGCCCAGCTCCGATCTGGCACCATACCACAAAAACTCTAGCCCCAAAAGTTTAGATTTTCACCCTTAAACTGAAGCCTATATGTACACCTATTTTTAAACAAGCTCAAAAACAAACAAAAACGACAACCCACCATCACATAGCTTAGAAACATCCCAGAAAACTACGTGGTATTCCTAGGATCTTTACAAAAAGACAAACTGATTAAGTTTTCCAGTATCATTTTGAAGCACACCATACACAAAGCCAAGACCTTTGAGTACCCATTCTTGATTCACTAACACCTAATATCTCAAATACTTGTCAAAAAAGTCCACGTTGATCCCACAAAGCTTTTAAGGTTAAGAAAAACACACACATGCGTAAATAGGTCTGGTTTAATTACTTTTTTCCTTTACTAATTATAGGATCCTGGAAAAGCGTACTTTCTCCTCAGCTTCACTTCAGATACTGTTGAAAGACTAACCAGTTAGCACCACTGCAGAAACAAGGTTGCCTTCCCAGCTGCCAGTTTCCCAAATTCTTATTATTCCTTGGAGGTGCTATACTCATTAAAGGTATTTGTCGTTTTGTACTGATAACATCTCACTGATTTTTAAATAACATGCAACCTACTTGTCAAGTCTTCTGCAACAGTGTAATACTCTCACCCCAAGATTTTCATACTGCACACCGGATCAGTGGGGGCACATGAAAAGAGAGATCAGCTAATCATGACCCTACTGCCTCAAGACTTGTTTGAACTAGCTGTTGCTGAAGCCTCTACTCCTCCAGCTAGCTCATCAAGTCAGGAGAAAGGGAAAGGGAACAGGTAGGTCTAAAGCAATGGCAATAGTGCCTTCCACCAGCACTCTCACCAAAAACAATATAAAGAACAAGCAAAACTCAAAGATGTGTTGAACTATATGCTTCTTAAAATCCTCAGTCTCATCAGATAAAAGAAAATACTCTTCAGAAATATTCAACATTTGGACTGTGCATGCACATTCTCACAGCAGGTTTTTGGCTTCTACAGAAATTGAGCATTTGTTAGTTAGACTAGATCTAAGAAAGTCTACTAATTGCAATGATTTATAGAAGATAAACGTCTGTCACTCTTCTGAACTGTATCAGGAATCTATGAAGACTGCTTACAAATGAAGCTCCACTCTTTATTATTTATATTCTTTTCTGAAAATGCGGTTTCTTTTCTCGTTTCTCCACCAAAAGGAGACCACGAACATACCTAGTATAGGACATCTGGGATTTGTCATCAGTACCTAGCCCAGCCTGGAGGACAATTACAACACCCTCCCCCAAACACTGACAGCAAATCTTTTGTCACACAGGGGCATGACTGGTAGCGCAGGTTTGATGATCGAGCAATCTCACTGTGTTTAAACACATTACAGCAGCTACTTGAATGTGCTGATGCCTTCTGCATTGAATGACAGTCCTTTCCTCATTCTCTGCTCTCATTCCGACTCGCTCAGTTTTCTACGACGAAAGCAAGCCCTGCCATGTTGTGAGAAAGCCTATGAGGATGTGATACCGCTTGCCTCATTTGGCACATGTATGCCTATGAAAACCGTACCCTAAAAACTAAAATAAAAAGATGTCATTTTAACTTGCTTGTTAGCTTTTGAAATATGAATGGGAACCACGCATTTATCGGGAAGGCTTTTCTTAAATACTGTGCGTGTTGAATTCATCTACATCAGAAAAATATTTCAGCTTGTAGACTGAGGAAATAGGAGTATTTAATTGCATATTTGACTTTTTGAGGCAACAGATGCTTAGTATTAATAACATGCAAAATAGTCTTACCTCAAATTTGTTGCAGTGCTTTTTAGTACTTGAACAGACTTACCAGTGATGATGCTTGTTTTATCTTAAAAGGTAGGTAGCACTTGAAGTTTCCCTTGATTAGTAAGTAATCCATATTTTTGTAACAGCCGAGTTTCAGCCAGATACAAGTCACTATTTAGAAGCACAGAATTCACAAGAGAACCTCAAACATTTTAAACCTGAGATAAAAAAGCTCATGAGATTGCAGCACCATTGTGTACAATGAAAAACTAAGCTTATGGTTTGAGAGGTCAAACAACTAAACTTACAAAACCTGCCTCTTGTGAGAGAATTATGCCAACCTTTTCTTTCATATCTACATGCTGTAGGTGCAGTTGAGGGACTGAGTTGTTGCATCGCGTAAGGAACGCGAGCTCCTCAAACATGAGGAGACATTTGGCGAGAGGAACCCTACAACAGCAATTCTCTTGCTATACTAGATTAGTGCCGCTAGAAATAATAACTAGTGTTATTTCTCAGTAGCCTAAACACATTTTGGGCCTTTCATTCCTTAGCTGACCTGGAAGGATGCTGTATATGTGGCTTAGCCGCCCAGGTCTCATTCATATTAAATGGCTGATCCCTTTTATGTAACTGCTATAATGACATTTTCCTGCTCTCTACAAGGAAAAGCAGAAACTCCTCCCAAGAGGCAAAGCCTACATGCTTACATTTGGGCAGCTTTCCCAAGCTCATGTGTGCTCCAGCCTGCAGAGATAACGCAATTGCTCAGTCAGACGTGGCACCAAGATGACATCACACCTAGCACGCACCCGCCGAGGACAAAGGCTGAATGTTTGCAGCCAACCCGGGCACAATTACAATGCATGGGCACAATTCATCACGTTCCTGAGAGCCTGCCTCTGTATCAGCACTAGCACAGAGCGGCAGCGTGGTCAACACAAACGCCTCTCTAGCTTCTATGTCACAGAACAGAGCAAAAGAGTTTAGCCTACTAGTAAACACGTGGGGTTTCTTCTCTCCATATTTTACATTTCTGCCTTTGGAACAATTTCAAAGCCTATCAAGTCACCTAGGAGAAACGTAGCCTATTAAAAGAACACACAGTCTCGCTATTCAGACATTGGGACGCAGCCTCTGCAAGACAGTCTGCTTACAGTTTGCCAGCATTCTTGCTTTAAAAAAGTGACAGAAGCAGCCAGGGATGTACAGGTTTAAAAAAGCTTTTTCTGGGTAGAGAACAGTCATCTGTCTAAGTATATCCTATCTAACCTTCCCCATCCTTACCAAGAAGGTTGTTTCACTTGCAACATTACATAATCTTTACCCTGTTTTATAAGTTTACAGCCACGCAACTCTGATAGAAAAATACTTTAAAAAGCTATTTCTAAATTATTACAATATTGTGTATAGTCGCTAAATTAAAAAGTCATT